CAATGTAGTACAGCTTTGTAATGTAGAGGTTAGTGAAATCATTTCACACTGTACTCCTGCACAATGAACCAGCACGTTCTAAACTGTTTCTAATCAAGAAATGCTGAAGAGCCAACACACTCTACACTGTTTCTAATCAAGAAATGCTGAAGAGCCAGCACACTCTACACTGTTTCTAATCAAGAGATGCTGAAGAGCCAGCACACTCTATATTGTTTCTAATCAAGAGATGCTGAAGAGCCAGCACACTCTACATTGTCTCTAATCAAGAGATGCTGAAGAGCCAGCACACTCTAGATTGTTTCCACACCTGAGTATTCTGCACGTAGTCCTTCTTGAAGTGACAAGAAATAGCAGGGCTGAGAGCATGAAGTCTTTACTGCCTGGTAAAGACCATCTATGTTTCCATTTAATACAATAAAAAAAAAACATAGAAATAGTTGCATTCACTGTCAGTTTAGAACTCTTTCCCATTATATAAGTAGACAGTGAGGTAAGATACAGTGTTTGCATGGTTGTCAATACAAATTCTCTGAATCGAAATCCAAAGTGAATTTCTCTCTGAAGCAAAAGGCAGACACTAAAACATCTCAACATGAATATCCCCCCCCCCCCCCCAATAATTATCTCACCCAGTTAAAAAAAATTATTGGCAAGGAATGGGGAGTTTGTGTCAAGATTTTTCTGTCTGTCTCTGGTTTGTTTAGAAATTACAGACACCTATTAAATAATTTCATATTAAATCAATTCCTATTACATCTTCTTGTCCAGTATACTGAGCCTTTGTGGTTAATTGTTGCAGATATCATATAGTTCCATTTATCTCTGTGACTGGCTTTTCTTTCCAGCTGATGACTCCAACTGTAGGTATGCTTTTATATTTTATCTCTCCAACGTTGAGTTGAGTCAAGAATTGACATTACAGCACTTGGGGCATTCCCATGCATGCTACGTCTTTATCTTCAGCAGCCAGTGCAGAGTTCTAATACAGATGGTACCGGTCACAATCTGGTTATATGCCGTCTTGCCTTTGAGTGTAGAGAGCCGGCCAGACCCAGGTGCCTCATTCTCTCCAGGCCATAATAATCGTATTCTCTACTGATCCTGTTTCTTGTTTCCAAAGGGCCTTGACCACATCTGCCTTGTCATGTATCAATTCACCACCCAGTCATGCAGCTCCAGCCAATCTGTTGGCCTGTATCTCTCCAACATGTTTCTGGCTGCATCATGATCTACTCCCAAAACTCTTTTCATCATCATCATCCATAACACTGTACGTCATTGGGTCAACGGTTGCTGTTGACTGACTGATCAGCTTCCTCCCCCTTTGATGGTCAGATGCAAGTGACTTTATGGTTGGATGCCATGACTAAGGCCTATCGAGTCAGTCAAGTTCTGTAAGGTCTTTCTTGGTCTGCCTCTCTCCTTTTCCCCTCTACTGAGCCATGAAGTATTGTTTTTGAGAGGTCATTAGATCTTCCTCGTCTTCTTCTCTATTTATCTGTAGATGTAATTGCATTGTGCCCATTTACAGCATGGCTGCACTATCTGCACCTTTCGGTCAACAAATCCAACTTCTGCAATCATTTGTTGACCAGGTTAGCCTTCGCGATTAGATCTATTACATGTCCATACCATCGCGGACCACTGTAACTTGTGATGTGGTATCTGTATGATATGCCAAGAATTGTTCATGTACTTAGATTCTGTCTCTCTGTTACCTGCCATTCTCTCTATATGTCCTAACTATGAAATCTATTAGCCCTCACGATGCTGGTAAATAGTGGTGATTCAAACAGATTATCAATTTCACTGCTGCTTTACACAATCCGTTCTCTGCTGTCTGTGTGTTTGATGAGTCCAAGGATTCATCGTAAGACCCTGTTATCAAAAATATAATTCATATTAAATGATGAAAGGTGGCCTAAATCCTAAAGCTAAAAGACCCCCCCCCCCCCCCCCCCCCCCCCACTGCAACCATGGTAAATACAGGCAGTAAAGATTCCTAGTCCCCTGTTATTAAAAGTTTAATTTACATTACATGATGAAACAAAATATTAACAGTAGGTGACAAACTGAAAAGTTACCTTTCAGTTGTAACTGTACCACTAGCCTGTACTTGGTCAGGAGACTTACACGATCTTCAAACCAAACTTGATGCTTGCGATCCTCTGTAGAGTTCTAGTGATAAAAAAATGAAACAGTTCCATGTTAGAAAACTTACACGCATTAGTTAAATTTGCTGCATATACTAAAGGGATTGCCTTGGATAAGCTGTTTGCCTCACTCTGAAATTTGTGGGGTCGTTTCACGAACTGTGGTATTCAGTCTATGGATGCAATTTTTACGGTGATCCCTGAGGATCACTACTACAGCTATGAAGTTTGTGCTTTGTGTGATGCTTTGGCAGGCAGCTAGCCATTCTGTATATAGAGACAGAGGAAGTAAAGGACAGACAGCTGCACATATGTTTAGCCCTTGGCTCACATATTTTAAAGTCAGCACATGAGTTTATAGAGGTAGGCCACAGATAAAGCCAATATTTACAGGTGTTCATGGCAAGTGGTCAGTAATGTTGGTGCAGCTCTTAACAGATGGTCGGCTCTGTGGCTAAGTCGATGCGAAACGCTTCGTAATGCTGGGATGCCTGGTTTGATTCCAGCTGCGGGCCATGCGCTTTGCTTTGGTTTCGACAGTGGTATCAAGAAAGCTGACCATCCAGAAAACAATGGCAAACTACTGGACGTAAATTGCCTAGAAAAACCACACAACAGCCAGGGGCTGTTGGGGTTGATTCAGCAATATCCTGTAAAGGATAGGCAACTAACCTTAGCAGATGTGTATTTAAAACTGATAATACATGAATATGAGAGAGAGAGAGAGAGAGAGAGAGAGAGAGAGAGAGAGAGAGAGAGAGAGAGAGAGAGAGAAAGAGGGAGAGAGGGGGGAGACCGTGAAGGAAAGAAGGGAGAGGAAAGGAAAGAAGCAAGAAGAGACAAAGAAAGAAAGAAAGAAAGAAAGAGAAAGAGAAAGAAAGAAAGAAAGAAAGAAAGAAAGAAAGAAAGAAAGAAAGAAAGAAAGAAAGAAAGAAAGAAAGAAAGAAAGAAAGAAAGAAAGAAAGAAAGAAAGAAAGAAAGAAAGAAAGAAAGAAAGAAAGAAAGAGAGGGAGGGAGGGATGATGAGAGGGAAAACAGATAAAAGGACAGAGAGGGACAGAGACTCAGAAAAGAAATGATAGTGGGAGAGATGAGAAAAGGAGACAGAGGAAGGGATGGCCGGGGCGCTGGGGGGGGGGGGGGGGAGAGAAAGGGGGATAGAGAGGGACAGAGACGGAGAAAGTGAATGACAATGGGAGAGATGAGAAAGGGAGATAGGGGAAAGAGAAAGGGGGTAGAGAAGGATTTAGACAGAGGGGAATGACAGGGGGAGAGATGCAAAAGAAAGACAAGGGAAAGGGCACAGATAGAAACAGAGGAGGGGGGGGGGATAAGAAAGGGAGAGAGAGCCAAACGGAGAGAGGAAAATCACACACCCCAGCTTGGCTAACTATCACAACCAAGAAGAGTTCTATATACGTACATGATAGTTGAAAAATGGGGCACTATAAAATGTATCAAAAGAGTGCTTCCCATGTTCTGTAGCATGCTCTCTCAAGATATCTCCATTGGATACTTTCCTTCTGCTGCTGAAGTCGCACTTTATCGTCGTGCCGTTGCTGCTGCTTGTCAACTCTTGCAGTCTGCAAATATCATTCTGGGAACCAAGATTTCAATAAACGTTTACAAGGCCAACATGTTCCGTGAAATCTGTACAATTCTCAAACTGACACACTATTCTGCTAACCAGTAATTACAGAGAAAATATGTGTACTTTCTTAAATAAGCACTCATTTATCAGGGCGACATCACACAGCATCAGTTCATCATGGTCACCATTCAGTTCCATGCCAATGAAAATAATTTTTTCTCTCATGGACTTTCTTCATGATCGCCACCTTTCCAAATTAACTGAAGTGAAACTCTGTTTGCTAATTCTTTTATGCCATTTCAGATCCAGATTACACTTTTTAAATTAGCATGAAATTGTGAATATCAGCATTTGTCCTTTTCCTCTTAGATTGTTTTCCGGCAAGGTCTTTATATGTGCCCTAAATATCTGTTTGTGAAACTTCATCTGTTGTTTAGGCATCTTTATTCACTCCCAGCTTGTCTAAATTAAATCTTACTCATTTGTTATGTTGTCTTTTTATATATGTTTCCTATAATATATGTATGTATATATATATCCACATACAAATGGTATTATTACTTTCCTCTGATGGCTTGTTTAGTCCATTACCCCACACCAAACTATAATATATGGAAACACATTAAATTTGATGACTCAATTATTAGATTGTGTTTAACTAGGAACAATATATTGTAAACGCCAATTCCCAAACACTAGTGTTATACTTTCATTATCTGTAAGGTTACACCACTTATTTAAATTGACTGGCCTTGATAATGTAGTAGCTAGTATTATTATTTATTAACACAGTGCTTGTGTTTGTAATTAATTCAAACTTTTCTAATCCACACAGCAGTACTTTTTTCATTTTGAATTCATGATACATTCGGTAATTTTTAAAATTTCTTTTGATTTCCTTAAAATTTTAAAATGTATAACAATTTTTCTAGCTTCTTTATTCAATTCCCTCAACTGTATGTACATACAAACAGTCTAAAAATACATGCAAGTCAAAATAATGAGAAGTGAGCTGTTATACCTAAAAGAAACATAATAATAAAAGAACATAATAATACTAACAAGTCTGAGAGCTACGTTTGTGTCCCAAGCCTGAGAAACAAGCCAATACATTATCAGGACAAATATTGTTTCAAATGTGCAAAATGGAAAATATTTAGTTATAGCAGCCCTAGTTTTATAAGGCAAAATGATTAGTTCTGTTTCCTATTTCAGTTTTCCTGATATTTAAAAAAAAAAAAATTGAAACTCACCTTGAGTGTCTCACAAGTGTAGTCATAGCCATGCCAAGCTACACCCAGAATCATCCTGTTGTTGGGGATGTGATGAGAATTATATTCACTGATACCTTTATTTGGTGGAAATATGTGAAAAACATAATGTTATGACAACCAAAATACATCTAACAGCACTAACTGCATCAGAACAGGTAAGAGAAATATGTGATGAACACACAGCATTACAATCAAAATACATGTAACAGCAATGACCGTATCGGAGCAGGTGAGAGAAATATGTGATGAACACATGTAATTACAATCAAAATACATCTAACAACACTGACTGTACTGATAAACATAATGTCATTACAATCAAAATACATCTCATAACACAGGCTGTATCGCAACAGGTAAGACATGAATAGTTTTTCTGACTGCTAAAAAAACCCAAGTCTAAATGATGATCCGCCAAAAACTCAAGCATGTATGGTGCCATTCTCCCCCAAGTGAACAATCATTTACTGATTTCTAGTGTACTGATTCCAAACAAACTACTGTACGGCATCATTCTGTTGTGCTGTTATACATCACATATGGCTTGCAGTCAATTTTTTGCTTTCTGTTTTATATTGTGCAGTTTTTACAATATATTGTAGTCTAGCATCTCTAAGTTCTCGAATCAGCAGTCATTGCAATCTCTTGGAAATCCTCAGTTTCCCAATAAATTTGTTTCCTATTTCAGTGTTTGTTTTGTTATTCTTTGTCAACTTTGTATACAACATACAATTATATATAAGAAAACTGCACAGTGCAGAAACCAGAAAGTGATTATATGAGACAATAAAACTAATGTTGGCTATTTCTGCAGCTAAACAATTGAAAGAAGGGTTTCCCAAAATTTTTCTGCAATTAAACAAGCTAGCCATTAGTTTAGATATTTTTATCTGATTTTATCTCCTGAAAGTTTTGCCAATTTTGCTACCTCACATTTTCTTACACCTGGAATGGTGAGATCATTATCAGTCTAGTCAAAACAACAAACAAACAGAAAAAAAATGGATGTCAGGTCACCAGTTTCTGCTGACTATCTGATGATCAGTTTTCTCCACCTCTGTCGGTCAGGTGCAACAGGCCTCATGTCTGCATGTTTAAGGCCTGTCCAGTCGACCGTGTTCTTCTTCGCGCTCACCAGCTGTACACTCTGGCGGAAAGTTCTGGTTGCTCGTCCACTACTAAACTGCAGTCCTGCTCCAGAACATGAGTGTTGGGTGTGCATCAGTTTTACAGATCTCATTCTCTTGAATACAGACTGTTGGTTCCTTGCCTCTCCAGCAGAAGATGCACTTCGACTTCAAAGGAAGCTCCCCAATTAGCCGACTCTTACGACATGCTTTTGGGGAGGCAGTGGGTCTATTCTTGTTTTCCCCACAATGGGGCCCCGGAACCCACACAGGGGGACCGTGTTCTGTATCGAGGACCTTATAAGAAATGGACGGACACTAGTGATATTTTAACTGTTTTGGTTATTTTATGCTTATCTAGTGTTCTTTTTTAAATATGCATTAGATTCATTGTATGTGGTGTAGGGATCGATGTCTATTTCTCTATTCTGTTCTATCGTGTCCAGTCAGCTCGATACCATGAATGGAATCCAGTCCGGTACCTTTAGTATTTTCTCAACACTTGGATAAGGCTTTTCCTTGGACATCCTCATTTCCTCAATCCCACTATTTCCCATTTCAGTGCCTTTGGTGATTATCTGCTCACCTCTTCCCAGAAGTATTCTAAATACCATCATCGTCTCTGTCTTATAACTGTGGATACTAGTGGTTGTCCAGACATTCATCTTATTTCTTCACTCCTCTTCAATTCATCCCCTCTTATATTCATCATTTTCCACAGGCATTTGTTTTCGAATGCATTTAACCTTCGCTCCATGTTTTTAGGGGTTCTCCAACTCTCACGGGCATAAATTAAAAATAAAACGACAATTTTTTTTTAAAAATATGCAATGCTAAAAATTATTTATGAATCTTGAAACAAGTTTTCCACCACCTCATCCAGTAGAAAACTTTGGCAACAAAATCCAGTCAGTCTTGACAAGTTTACAACTGGCATACGTCCCATTTAGAAATTCAAGGCAGGTGAGGATGAGGGAGGAAAGGGTAAGGAGGAGGAAAAAAATAATACAAGAATTTCTAGCCTGCACGAATTCCAACTGACCAAAAATTAAAGAGCTTCTGTTAAAAATCAATATTAAAAAAAAATAAAAACAACTAATGCTAACCAGAACACAAATTATTACATTTCTGCAGGGACCAAAACTCTTCGTTATTGCATTGTAAACTAATTATATACGTAGCCACATATGCTACAAGCAAAATCAAATAATACTAAATGAGAAACAACAAACCATATAATAGCTTGGATATTGGTATATTCGCTCTTGCTCTGCATTTGACATTGTCAACGTCAGTAAAACTGTCCGGGCTGATGACAAAATAGTCGCAAGCATCTGTGGAGAGGCTGGTGAAATCACAAAATGGTTCCATCTCTGCACAAGGTGGCTTCCATGGGATGATACAAGCAACCTGTCAACAGATGAACACACTGAATCATGGGATGATACAAGTAACCTGGGAACAGATGAACATTGAACCATGGGATGATACAAGTAACCTGGGAACAGATGAAACCAAGGAATGATACAACTAACCTGGGAACAGATGAACATTGAACCATGGGATGATACAAGTAACCTGGGAACAGATGAAACCAAGGGATGATACAAGTAACCTGGCAACAGATGAACATTGAACCATGGGATGATACAAGTAACCTGGGAACAGATGAAACCAAGGGATGATACAAGTAACCTGGGAACAGATGAACATTGAACCATGGGATGATACAAGTAACCTTGGAACAAATGAAACCAAGGGATGATACAAGTAACCTAGGAACAGATGAACATTGAACCATGGGATGATACAAGTAACCTGGGAACAGATGAAGATTGAACCATGGGATGATACAAGTAACCTGGGAACAGATGAACATTGAACCATGGGATGATACAAGTAACTTGGGAACAGATGAAACCAAGGGATGATACAAGTAACCTGGGAACAGATAAACACTGAACCAAGGGATGATACAAGTAACCTGGGAACAGATGAAACCAAGGGATGATACAAGTAACCTGGGAACAGATGAACATTGAACCATGGGATGATACAAGTAACCTGGGAACAGATGAAACCATGGGATGATACAAGTTACCTGGGAACAGATGAAGATTGAACCATGGGATGATACAAGTAGCCTGGGAACAGATGAAGATTAAACTATGGGATGATACAAGAAACCTGGGAACAGATGAAACCAAGGGATGATACAAGTAACCTGGGAACAGATGAACATTGAACCAAGGGATGATACAAGTAACCTGGGAACAGATGAACATTGAACCATGGGATGATACAAGTAACCTGGGAACAGATGAACATTGAACCATGGGATGATACAAGTAACCTGGGAACAGATGAACATTGAACCATGGGATGATACAAGTAACCTGGGAACAGATGAACATTGAACCATGGGATGATACAAGTAACCTGGGAACAGATGAACATTGAACCATGGGATGATACAAGTAACCTGGAAACAGATGAACATTGAACCATGGGATGATACAAGTAACCTGGAAACAGATTAACACTGGATCACTGAAAAATCCCCCTGTGGGTTCCAGGCCCCTTTGGGGGGGGGGGGGGGGGGTGTAAGAACAGACCCACATTCTCCATAACAAGCAAAGTCTAGATGTGGATAAACAACCAGAAGTTTTTGCTAGAGTTAACAGCCGGTAAACGCTAAGAAGAAGAAGAAGAATCGTGGAATTCTGCAAACAGACGGTGCCAGGATTATACACTATGAGTTCCAACCATGTGTTTCTGAAATCTATATGGAAAGCAAAGATCAATAATAAGGTGTCTTACCAGCCATGTCATAAGGGGCAACTAAGAAGGGTTGGCAAGAGGTTGGCTATTTCATCTAGTAGAAAGCTTTAGCTTAAACAATCCGACCAATCAAGAACATACAGAGCACTTATACACAACATTAAATGTTTGTTAGTGTGTGTTTTAAAACATCAGTGTGTTCAGATAAGGATGATCCTGTAACAGGCCCAGCAAGTCGGTAGAGATTCTATTTTTTCCCTTGCAACTGCTCAAGAATTATGCCCATGCTGACCTTGATCCGCGCTTCACTGATCCATCTGTGTAGATGATGATGATGTCTTCTGGGTGTGAATGCTGATCTATCAGTGCCCTTACCTCTGTGTCTACGGTCCCAGGAATCTGATCCCAGTGTGATGACAACCTTAGAGATGGCGCACATGTTTACTGGGGGTATTAGTTAATTCTTTTCCGTGACTAATCTTGTTTAAGTCCCATGTGTGCTTGATTAAATCCTCAGCCTAGGCCATCCAGGTTAACCAGAACTTCGGACTGGAGTTTACAGCTGGTGAAAGTGACGAATAAGTTGAAAGAATCATTTCATGGGTGCTTTTTAATATCCTACCCCAAACAGGGGAAATCCACAGGTCACAGGACAGTCTAATATTTCAGGAAGTGGTAGATAGGCTACATGCAGTCGTGGGACCTAGGCTGCATGCAGTTGGTGGATCTAGGCTGCATTCTCTCATAAGACGTAGGTAGGTTGTGGTTAGAGTCAGTTCTAGATGTTTTGGGGTCGTTAAAACCATCAGAAAGCCGGGAAACCCAGTCTTACCACCCTCTAAAATATTTCACTGTCCTGTGGCATCATCTTGGGTAAGATATTATTAAAGAACCCATTTCTGTGCTTCAGTACATTTAATATTGATATAAATTCACAAGTATGCATTATACAGAAGAATATGCCAGATAATAAATTTCGCAATATACTGTTTTCTGCCCTCATTATTTGTATACACACCTTAACAATATCCGACAATGCAGTGAGGTTTTCTTTCATGTGGCTCAATATCTTGACTAAAGCAACATGGTCCTGCTCAGAGCTAGAGACGCCAGACGAGAAATACGGCAGCAGGTTGAGAGTGACAAATTCTGCATGCCACATCTGCTGCTGGGATAACACAGAACGGATCCACTCTGCTGATTCAGTTGAAGTCTCATTTATCTGTTCTGACAAACTCAGGTCCACTGGAAACATATAACAAAGTCTGCATTTCAATTTCAGAGTGCAGTTTCTATAAAAGGTGCAATACACTAAGTTATACTGAGGAGCCGCGTTAGGGCAGTCGATAGGAGGCTTGCTTTCAAATCCAGCTGGGAATTGCTGCAGCCACGGTCAGTGTTCGAAACCGGGCGGTTTCCGGGGTTCACCCAGCCTCTAGGAAATGGGTACCAGAGTTGACACTCTGGGGTGAATGGAGGAATGTCGCAGTAGCTACGGAGTTACGTGCTAACGGTGACACAGGTGGACAGTTTCTTATCAGCTGTCCGTACTAGTACTTATGGTTTATAACCGTGTGCAATGACGCTGGTTCACATCTCCCAACTTTACCTTTATACTAAGTTATTAGAATCCAGACTTTTCAGCCTAATATATGTAAAGATAATGCTGGCTTTTGCAGTCACAAGGAAATCAGTAAAATAGTTGCCATAGATATCTGACTCAAGACTACAAACTTCAACAGTGATTAAAAGCAAAGGTCACCATCAAAACAGGAAATAGAATTTGGGACACAGAATACAGTAAAACCGTTCTTGGCCAAGTTAAATTTTCATCGATAAAACATTTTAGTAGTCATCTCGTCATCCCCTTGTAGGATGCAATTTTAGTTATTTTGAAGCCCCACTCTGGCTTTTGCCAGGGGCTCTAAATATAGCATAATGACTGAATGGGGTTTCAGGGACCTCTCCATGGGTGATCCTCATCTGCATTGTGGCACTTTGTGTCACCGGGTGTTTATTGCTTGTGTGATGCACTGGTGGAGTACAACTTACATACATACAACATACTAGTATACTTCACAAAGAGAATACCTTCTCAGTGTTTGATGTTAAAGAAGGTTCTGTCTTTAACGTTTATCCACCTATAAAAATTATGCGCTGTTTATGTACATCATAAAAAAACTAAATGTACACACACAATTTAAAATAAATTGTTGTTATTCTCTGGTTAAATCTGCTAGTGATCCTCTGGTTAAATGTTGGCAACTGTCAGTCTTTCCAGATGACAGTGTTATATTGTAATACCGTATGCGTGGGAAACACAGTCCATGACGATGATGCGTTTGACTAGCAAGACCCGCCCATGTTAAGAAAAGTCTTCCACAGTTACAGCACAAGATTTCAGGACAGTTGTTGCCATCACATGTATTTAATAAGCTTCTTCTCAGACACTGAGCTGTCAACCTTTCTGCAATCATTATTTTTCTTTATTTCCATTCCCTTCCTGATTTTCCCGCTCCACAAAACACAGACACATGTGCTTTTTATTGATTACTTATGGAGAGTTGTAGCAGTGCAGCAGTTAGCACAGTTATGGGGTATCAGGAAGTGTCCAGGGAAGTAAAAATGGCAAAAATAATGCTGACCACATGAGCCAATAAGTATCAACTGGTTAATACAAATATGAGGCTAGCACTATAAGCCCGCTGCACCTCAATAGGTGAAACACGACCTCTATTGTTTAACTGAGTGTAACAATTTTTTTTGGGGGGATCAACTGAGATGAGAAAGAGAATTCTCACGAGCCATTTAAATCCTATACTGATATATGGGAGTGAATCATGGGCAGTTAGACATTTAGTGAACAATTATCTGGAAGCAGTGAAGATGTGGTTTTACAGACGAATGATGAGAATACTCCGGACAGATAAAAGAGTTATGAAGATGTCTTGAAAGAAACTGACTCACAGAGGGGACTGATTACCCACAACAGAAGAAGACAATCTACATTCTTTGGTCACATCATGAAAAGGAGAAAAATGGAGATCAGAGACAGAAGATGCTGGACAGTCTGACATCATGGTCTGAGAGATCACCTATGTGAGAGACCTAACAGAAAAGTACACAAGACAGAAAGTTGTGGATAAATGTAACCATCAATGCCTCATGACATGGACTATAAGAAGAAGAAGAGAGTTATCTACCTGTGATGCCAAACTTCCTGCCATTCCTGTGGGTGGTACACATGGTATCAGCCTGTTGTTTATTGCTGATGTTGAAGCTGGAAGGCACAATAACAGTGGTGATGGTATCCCAGCTCCACAGATGTACATCAGTTGTGCCATTACTGAACACAAAAACCTGTGTTAGACAAGATGGCATCATTAAGCATAACCACAATGTATCACTCTCATCTACTGTATTCACTAACTGTGAAAACAAATGTATACATCACCATTAACGTGTTAAAGAATTCCTCAAGTCTATCCTTATTTCTTTTATTTAATTAAATGCCTACAAATGTTGTTGCCATCACATGTATTTAATATGCTTCTTCTCAGACACTGAGCTCTCAACCTTTCTGCAATCATTATTTTTCTGTATTCCCATTCCCTTCCTGATTTTCCCACTCCACAAAACACAGACACATGTGCTTTTTATTAATTACTTATGGAGAGTTGTAGCAGTTCAGCAGTTAGCACAGTTATCTTCCAGTCTGGCGGCCATGAGTTGAAATCTGTATTAAGGTAGATTTTATAGCCTGACCTGAGCTCCCAGATCGTCCTGGCTTAATATGGGGTATCAGGAAGTACCATTACATCTCGATACAGTGGAAGTTACTGATAATAAATGAACCAATGCAGCTGAAATATGTCATATGAAGCCAAATACGTATTCACGCAGAGCAGGCCATTGTTCAGCGCTACAACAAAAAGGAATCTACACATCAAGCCCAAAAACTACTAAAATCTTCATGTAGTATTTTACTATAATTATCATTATGATTTTTTTGGGGTGTGTGTTGGTCAATTGAGAGGAGAAAGAGAATTCTACCCTATATGCTAAAATACACATATTACAAGTCAACAACTGTTCTCTGGCCTCTTAACCATGTCATGTATTTCCCATGCATGCTCTGTCCTCATCTTCGACAGCCAGTGCGGAGTTCCAATACTGATGGTACCGGTAACAATCTGGTTAAATGTCTGTCTTGCCTTTCCTCTGAGTGTAGTGAGCCGGCCAGACCCTCTGGTTTCACCCAGGTGCCTCATTCTCTCCAGGCCATAATAATCTTCTTTCTCTACTGATTCCGTTGATTGTTCCCAAAGGGCCTTGACCACATCTGTCTTGTCATGTATCAATTCACCACATAGTGATGCAGGTCTAGCCAATCTGTCTGTCTGTTCATTACCCACCACACCGGCATCTCCTGGAGAAAAGATCCAAAGTATGTGCAGACTTAGGCTGACATCTATTTTTTAAAAATACAGATTTTTTTTTTTATTAACATGAGCAGAATTTATTTTAAACCATATTAATGCAGGTAAACACAGGGAAAAATACCAAAGCAATGAGAGAAAATCATCCAAAGCAATGAGAGAAAGTAGACATATTTCACAGTCAAATTAAGATACAAAACCAAGAAGGTGTATGTGAAGAAAATACACAGTAAAACTAAACTTGAAGAGATGAAAATCAAGTGCTGAGACATTACTGGGATATATAAAGAAAATGAGATTAGGTACATGGCAAACTGCTTAACAGGCCCAGGGAGCAAAAAAGATAAAAGAATGTATGGAGCATGTAAGTAAATGAAGGTATACATTTTATTAGAACTTAATTATATCACCTAAAGAAGACAACCGAAATGAATTATTAAAATTCACTAAAAAATCATATCAAACTGCCTCATTAATAAATACAAACCTCATTGTGTATGCCAATATCCTTTGATGGAGGATCACAATCCTTCTGGCTTGAGCACGGGCAATCATGTAGGCCCCCTTCTACTACAAAAAATCCCACTGACTATGTAAAGCGTTGCATATACCAGATGTTTCATTGTTATGTGTCTGATCTGAAAATACCAACAGGCAAAAGGCAAATAAAAAAATGGATGAATCAACTGTGAGCACAACATAAGCATACAATATCACTAAAGACAAAAATATTTATCTCAATTACAAACCACATAAGTAAGACAGCAAATCACTGGTTAAATTACTACTATATGTGCAAAGCGGGAGCCGCAGAGAAGTAATGCTAGATGCTCTCTGGTAGATCTAAACTGTCTTACGTACAAATCTGAACAGAGGCGGACTTTTTTCAAAACTACCTTGCCTCCAATAGCTACTAGATAAAGTCATGGGAAGTGAAGGCAGTCGGCCTGATGTTGACCACTATGGGGCTATAAATACAGCTCTAGCACTATATGCCCAATTCATCTGAAGATGTGGAAAAGGGTGCTTGACTTGACTTTCTGTGTAGAATACTCTATTACGGTCAGCAATGTTAATGTCCCTTCTTCACCAGACAACTTGCCAAACTTTATCATATAAACTGCTCCTCAATAGTTTCCAGGAAATACTTCAAACCTTACAGAAAAGTTGTTGGATGTATTCACATCAGAAAACAATTTAATTTAAATCACTTGCTACCTGTGTGAACCTTCACATGCACACAGCATGTGACAAAACTTAAAGTAAGCATACCTTAAAAATTAATGGAAAAAAAAAACCTTGAGCAATCTACAATTGAATTCTATACTGCTATTAGTATTAATGTCATGTTACAATGTTGTCTAAAATTACAGAAATGTGACCTATCAAATATTAAATAAAATGCTTGAGGAAAGCCACTGATTTGATTAGAAGAGACAGAATTCAAAATGATAATCAGAAACATTAGTTACAGCTTGCTGCATTGAATTTACAGTCAGAAGACAAATACCATGATTTGATCAACTTATCACTGAATTTACAGTCACATAACAAATACCATCATTTGAGAAACTTATCACTGAATTTACATTCGGATAACACACACAATGATTTGATCAACTTTTCAGAATGACCTGGAATCAGCTAGCATTTTATAACTAAACACGAAGAAGCTCTAACCTTGACTAGAGAGGTTAGAGAACATACTATATCAAAAGTATACCAAACAAACACAATATTTATCACTAGGAAAACTAAAAAAAGCACAATAAATCAATTTACAGGCACAGTATTTACACTCATAGAGAGAAAAGAAGTTGAGTTCGAAGGAAACTAGACAAGCGTCTGACTCAAGATTGAAAACTTAATTTTTAACAAGTGTCCTACTCAAGATTGAGAACTTAATTTTTAACAAGTGTCCTACTCAAGATTGAAAACTTAATTTTTAACAAATCTCCTACTCAAGATTGAAAACTTAATTTTTAACAAGTGTCCTACTCAAGATTGAAAACTTAATTTTTAACAAATCTCCTACTCAAGATTGAGAACTTAATTTTTAACAAGTGTCCTACTCAAGATTGAGAACTTAATTTTTAACAAATCTCCTACTCAAGATTGAAAACTTAATTTTTAACAAGTGTCCTACTCAAGATTGAAAACTTAATTTTTAACAAGTGTCCTACTCAAGATTGAAAACTTAATTTTTAACAAGTGTCCTACTCAAGATTGAAAACTTAATTTTTAACAAGTGTCCTACTCAAGATTGAAAACTTAATTTTTAACTACATGTAACAGCAAATATAAATCAAAAATCATCACACATATTTTCTTCTTTTTTTAGCATTCTGAGACCTTGAGGTTCATTGCTGCAGATATCACCTGCCTTCATTCCAGTTGGTGACACCAAGTATATGCAGGTCTGTCTGAACAATATCTCTCCATCGTCTTCTTGGTCTGCCTCATGGTCTGTGACATTCTTTCAATATGCCCCAACAATTTCAGTTTATTAGCTCTCATGAAGTGAAGTACACATGCTAAAAGATAGTGTATTTCAAGATGTGACCACAAAGTAAGTGCAGGCGGTTATTTAAACAAATAAAAATTGTATAGCTACGCTTAAAGTGCAAAAAGAAAACAATAATACAATCATAAACAAATCTTGTGCACTAGACAATGAATTTAGATTAAGAAAATAAACAGTGAACCAAATTGTAAATGTGCTAATTCTCAGTCCCAGAAGATGTTTAGACAGACATTCAAGTAGATAAATAACCAAACTGAGAAAACAGGCACATAATTTTAACATTGGAGGTGACCACTGAAGATGCTAGATTTCCTTAGTATGCTCTGACCAAATTAGAAAGGTATAAAAACTGCTGGCTATGATTCACAGGAAAGACACAATCTCACATCACTCGCTTCTCAGCCTTAAGGAGTTAGGAAATGGACATTCAGGCCTATCTTACTTTCTGCTTTTCTTAGCCATGGTCTTTCAATGTCCACTAAATATTTCAACTAAATATACAATATGTAGAAGAAGATGGCTATTTGAAGTATTTGTGGATCGTGATAAAAAAGCAGTGTAAAAAAAAAAACAGCTCTCCTTTAAATACCGATTGTTAGCTGGAAAGCTTAGTGAGAGTTCACTCCCTTGGCTGCATTGCAAATACAGTGCAGAAAAGTCACGAATCAAAACAGACAGTGAGGTCGACATCAGGCCTGCCAATGCTTGGGTGTTTAACCCAGATCTGGGTGTTTATGTGACGCCTTGGGGAAATCTGGGTTGTTTTTTTTTAGTATATATATATATATATATATATATATGTGCTCTTAGTTGCCACGGATGTGACTCCTACAGATCTGTATGCCTTAATGACCAATACATTTGCGTGGTTAGGGGTAGGGTTAGATGTGACACATTTAGTCACTTTTTTTTAAGGACAATTCGCCATCAATTGGGCACCAGCCGCGCCCTAGCTATTGCCCTCATATTTAGGAGAATTCCAGTGGCGCCACTGCCACAAGCATCACATTGTCAGCCATTATTTGGAACTCCTACGTCAAAATTTTCACATCTTACCCTAATGCTAACCCTATCCCAAACCCTACACTCTACGCAACCGTATTCGCAACCGTATGATGATAGGTAAGTACGTCATTTGTTTCGTTCCCTCTGTTCGGTCCGTATTTGCACTGCAACCAAGGGAGTGAACTCCCACTAAGCGACCCTCGGCTTTCCAGCTAAGGATCAGTATTTAAAGGAGAGAAAAAAAAACTAAATAAATTTTTCAATTTCTAATGTTAATC